CCTATAACGATAACTGTAATGATAATGATAACTGTAACGATAACTAAAACAATAACGGCAGTGATAACTATACCAATAACAAAAACTGTGATAATTTTAACAGAAACCAACTATATCTATTACTATAACTGTAACTATACTATCCCTATAACCATTAGACTAATGATAACTGTAACAGTAACTATCCCTATAACTATAACTGCAATGGTAACTATACCTACTATAATAACTATACCGATAACTATACTTAAAAAAAATAACTATACCCATTACAATAACTATACTACTGTAACGAGAACTATAACAACAACTACACTTAATAACGATATTCATACCTATTACAATAACTATATCTATAACGATTTAACAATAACTAAACCTATAACATTATAGTTATCAGCATTATAGTTATTATTATATAGTTATAGGCATAGTTATTGTTACAGTTCTAGGTGGTTATCGTTATCATAGATATCGTTACAGTTATTGCTATAGCTACAGTTATACGTATCGTGTGAATGGGCCTTAATGGGCTTTATGCACAGCTGCACTACTTCCTGAACTTCAGCCAGCTCCTTGTTTCCTGTCTGCCATTATTGGCCAAATTGATTAATTCAGGTGTGTCTGATTATTGTTGCCATGACTACTGAGGTCAGGTACACCTGAATTAATCAATTTGGCCAATAATGGCAGACAGGAAACAAGGAGCTGGCTGAAGTTCAGGAAGTAGTGCAGCTGGGCATAAAGCCCATTATCTCCCATGATGCATCAGCAGGGGACTCACCATCTGATAGTACGACACCAGCGACAGAACTGCCTCGAACTCGTTCACACGACACATCTTCTTACACACCTCAGGATCTGCGTCAGTCTGAAAGAAACGCAGAATTATGATATGAATATAAAATATCCATTCTGCAAACCGAGGTTTTTGATATTAAAGATGAATGCGCGTCACCAGTATCTGCAGTAACTCCTCCAGGTAACACGCGATGAGCGCGTGATCTTCGTACAGCGCCCAGCTGCGCTGCTGAGAGTCGTCACGGTGACGCGCCAGATCCCCGAAGATCACCTGCAGCCGCTGCTCGTCGTGACACACCTGTCCTAGCGGGAGCGCCGACCGCTGATCCTGAGGACACACCAGCGCGTTACTGGCGGAGCACAGGTGAGGGGGAGGAGCTACTGGCCTAACTCTCCACCAATGACAGCAGCACCTGCTTACTTACTTTACTTAACTATTACAATAGCTGTACGATAACTATACTTATAGTGATAACTATACGTATAACAATAACTATAACGATATTTATACCTATAGCAGTAACGATAACTAGTATGATAGCGTTAACTATAATGTTAATAACATGGTAATATAGTATTGCATAGTATCAGATGGTAATATAGTATCGCAAACAGTTATGTTTATAACTGCAGTTACTGTCATAGTTATGGGTGTGTTATAGTTATCGGAGTTATCGTTATAGTTATCGTTAGAATTATCAGTATAGTTGTCGTTATAGATGAGTCCAGGGCTGAGCTATTGAGCTACTAACCTTACTCTCCACCAATGAGAGCAGCACCTGCTCCAGGTGAGAAGCCGCCGTCGGCAGGGCGCTCTGCAGGTGTCCCACGACCACGCCCACGGCAACCCGCGACAGCTCGTAACTAAGGTTGGTGTTTTTGCGCACCAGTTCAATCAGCTCTGCTCCGATCGTCGTGGGAACGGCTGAGGACCGGGTGGGGCTACAGAGGGGGCTGAGAGACACAGAGGGCGGGGCCTGTGGCCACTCCACGTCTGATTGGTGTTCGGCAGCAGGCTGGGGAATGATTGGCTGAGGCGCCGGCCGCTTTTCGGAAGGGGGTGGAGCTTGTGTGCTGATCAGTTGAGGTGATGGGGTGATTTTTGAAGGCTCTTCCTGTGGGGATCGGTCAGGCAGAGGAGGGGGCGGAGCCTTGCCTCGTTTTGGGACAGGGGGCGGAGTGCTGCTGATGCTGGGAAGACTGACATCTGAGGAGACGCCCGAGTGGGAGGAGCCAGAGTCTAAGGAGGCGGAGCTGATGGATAGAGAGGGTCTAGCATGAGGTACAGAGCTGGGGGCGGGGCTTGTTGAGGAAACGCTCGTTGGCACTTCCGGGTCTGTATAGAGAGAGCGAGAGAGAGAGAGAGAGAGAGAAAGAGGTTCAGTCAGTCAGGTGTGCGCAGCATAACGTAAAAAACGTGTTGTTCTCCGACACCCACCGATGTGTCGTAACTCCCGGTGTTTCTCCGGAGGAGGTGGAGTAACGGGCACCGCTCTACGAGGCTGAGGAGGAACCTGCGACAGAAACACAGTATCAGCACACACACACACACACCCATATAGACCAAAACCACTTCTAGCGCCCGACTGTGAACATGTGTTTCTGCTGTACAGTTTAACATGCGGCTCTATGGGAGTGAGTCTCTCCTGCAGCGCCTCTAGTGGCCAGAGGAGGAACTGCAGGATAACACACTCAGACATTGAGGAGAAAGTTTCCGCTCGGCTGTACCTGATACAGTGCAGGAACACCAGCGGTGCGCTCTGACATCGGCTCGCTGGCCCTGCAGCTCTGGGCTCGACTCAGGCCGTTGGGTGGCTGCGGTGTGCGGCTCAGGGAGACCTCACTGGAGGATGATGGGAGTTTCGGCTTGTGTTCGCTTTGAGTCGGGCTTCTGCGGGACAGCGTCTCCTTCCTGTGGTGGATCAACTTCCTGTGGAATACATTCGAATATACTGTATATGCAACAGAACATTTATATAAAAGACAAACATATAATAAAATATTAAAATATAACAATAAATGGAAAATAACATAACAATGTTTAACAATATAAAATATAAAACTAATAAAAAAAATAAGTTATATAATATAAAATTATTAAACACTCCACCTGGACTCGTTATTAAAATCAAATGTTGTATTAGTACATTAGTTAATGCACTGTGAACTAACATGAACACACACTGAGCTAACATTAACAACGATTAACTGTAATAATACTAATACTGTAACAAATAATAATACTGTAACAAATATATTGCTAATTGTTAGTTCATGTTAGTTAATACACTAACTAACGTAAAATAATGAACCATTTTGTACATTAAAAATTAAAACACTATATAATATACAAATATAAATGTAACATAATATAATACAAATATAATATCACAATACAAAAATATAATATAACAAATTATAAAAATGTAAAAAACATATAAAATAATATAAAAATATAATAAACTATAATACCATAAAATATGTACATTTAATATAAAAATATAATAAAATTATATAACATAAAAAATAAATATAAAACTATAAGCAATCTTTTGTATATCTTATCAATCTTATAGTAAAAGTAGAAGTAAATGTGAATAATTTAATTCTTATGTTTGTATATTGTTAACTGTTTTGTGATTGTATAGCGAGACCAAAGACCAATTTCCAGCCAAGGCTGAACAATAAAGTACAACTACTAATAATATAATTGTGACGAGCAGGGCGAAGCGGAGGAGCGGCGGCAGTGAAGGATGAGAGCGGACCAGGCCTGGGCTTGTGGACGTTATGCTGTGTGTGTGTGTGTGTGTGTGTGTGTGTGTGTGTGTCAGTCATCCATGAGGGGCTGCTGCCTTTACTTTACTTTTGTGTTTGCTTATTTTATTATAAAAAGTATGTTGAACGTTTGCCCTCCTCCTCTTTCCCACAACTACTTACTGCGTGACAATAATGAAATACAAAAATAACAATATAAATAGAGTGTGTGTGTGTGTGTGTGTGTTGCACTCACTGCAGGACGTCTCTCTGCTCCAGGTTGTATTTGCCAGCGTTGGTCATGGCCACATTATGAATGGCTTCAATCGCTCGATCAATGGATTGCAGCACCTCGTCCTGCTCTGGAGCCTGAGGGGGGAGGGGGGGTTCATCACCACACACACACATCAGTTTCTTATCAGCTCTTGCTTTTCCTGGGAATCGAACCCATGACCATGGCGTTGCAAGCGCCAGCACAAGAGTCATTGAGTTCTGCAGATGTTGTTTATTATATTACTGTACTCTTACTGCTGTTCTCTATGTGCGTCACAGTGTGTGTGTGTGTGTGTGTGTGTATATATATAGGGTGAGACGCAGTAAAACGACCCGCCGGTGTAAACGAGCTCTGATTTCTGCAGAATATGCAGAAAAATATTTGAACTTTTAAAATATGTCATTCATGTAAAAAAATAAAATAAAGAGCATATTCAGTTAATGCATGTACTCTATGAGTAGTCTATGGACTGTGTACATGTTTAATTAAAATGATGTCATAGTAATCAACTGAATGATTCTGGTCAGGTTATGATGAATAATGAGGACGCTTTATACACTGGATCGAGTGTGTATACGATCGACGTCTCACCGGTATTTTCTCTATGTAAGAGGCGGGGATGTAGCCCGTCTCCCCGGAGCGGCAGCGCGTCGCGAGCCACCAGTGCGCGCTACTGCGCTCGAGGATGAGGAAAGACTCGCCCGCGGGGAAGCGCAGCGCGTTCCTCTCCGCAGAGCTGAAGGCGAACAACGAGCGATACATCATCCAACACTGACGCGTCCGTCACGCGTTAATGGCGCACTCGGAGAACAGAAGAAGCGCAATCATAATATCTTCAGATCATGTGAACTAGTCGCGACTCGATGAACCGCAGCCTGTGTCCCGTAAACACGTCAGCGGGCGCGCGCACTGGCTGTCACGCGCCCTGCAGGAAAAATAATCGTGCTCAGAGCCTGTACAGCTGATTCACGTTAATCACAGAGATTAAATATTATTATTGGCATGCTGGAGCTTAAATAAAATAATAGCTGAACACTGTAATGTGAAAGAGAACCATAGAGCTATGAAGCTGTAATATTTTAAACATAAAGATATGCAGAGGAGATATCATCCTGCGAAGGATGTTGTGTGTGCCAGTCAAAAGTGTCCGTGTGCACACGAGAGCGTGCGTGAGTGAGTTCCGCGCGTCATGGCCGCTGCGAGCTGCGCGAGGTTGCTGTCCCCGCGATGCGTTCACGGACTCCGGCTGGGTTCCAGGGTTCTTCCAGCTCTGACCCGGTAAACCTGCTGTAGTAGATGCGGCGAATCGCTCTAGTGTGCTTGATGATAGTGTGTAGTTACTGTATAAATAGTACGTGAAACAATATTAGAGCAGTATGTGCTACATTCGCACATGACCTTTTCATATTAGGTTTGATTAGCATTGTTAAATGAATCAATCTGCATAAGTAACATATCAGCCGTGACTTGACATTTTCTCCTGACTCATTTAAGACTGACAACACTTTCATTTTTTCATCGAAGATTTTAAATAATTGTATTTTTTTATGTAGAAATAATTTTACTTCTGAGAGATAGCTAGATACGACTTAATAGAAGGTCAAGTGCACTGCATTATGGGACAGTGTTCAGATTTGGAGTTATTCATTATGAAAGTTTATCATCTGCATGTGTTTTAAAGCCTTATCAGTAAAAAACACTCAAAGTTCACAGTCGGTCATGTGTGTGTGAACATAAACAGCAGGGAAATAAATCGCATGTGTATATCAGATCTGTGTATTAAAGGTCCCCTGACATGGGGTTAATTTATTATTTTATAATGTTTCCTGGGTTGCCCTTATAATGTTAGTATATTTCTTAGATCAAAAATAGTCATAATTTAGAACTAAAAGGCATTTTTCCTAATTTGCTAATAGGGCAGCGTCCGTGGGCGGAGTCCGTGGGTGAGGTCTATGCTAATCTATGCTAGTAGTCCTTCTGCAGTCGTGGGCATATGTGCATATGTGACGTCACACTGCTAGAATGTGTAAACGGCTTGTTCTGATTTATGGGGATGAAAAAAAGGAATGGGTGGTTTTTGTCATTATAGGGTGGTTGTTCACACACACTGCCGACACACGTACCAACACCATGTAAAGCGCAGTCCCCTTTAACGCTCCTGTGATGTGCTCCTGTAGAGCGGCCCCGGTGCGCAGCCACAGGCTCGGCCCCGCGGATGACGAGCTGTACCAGAGGACCTCAGTGACCGTGATGCAGAAGGAGCCCGACGGGGCCGCCATCATCTACAGCTACAGCCCCCGAGGCTTCAACATCAGCGGCAACCACGTGCTGGGCCCGTGTGCCCTGGTGCCGCCCGCCATCCTGCAGTGGAACGTGAGCTAACGTCAAACGCTGAACTCATGCCTCACGCTAGCTCCGCGCTCACTGCTGTGTGTTTACTATTGCAGGTCGGCCATCACACCGACATCACAGCCGAGAGCTTGTCTCTGTTTCATCTGCTGGAGCCGCCCATCGGTGAGCAAACACGCACTCCTGCACTCCAGCGCCCCCTAGCCGCCAGATGACGTCACTTCACATCTGTTTCCTTCTAATCTGAGCTCACACACTGTATTCTCACATAAAAAGCTGCTCTCATTTACACAATGTTCTGTCAGACAGCAAAACCAGTACGAAATAATGACTGGCTACATGTTAACCAGCACTTTTTACCAGCAGAAGCCGGTAATCTAGCGGCAACACAGGTTAGCGGCGTTCTGATACTGTATGCTGATGAGACTGTAAAGGCTAGTCAGCATGCAGCAGGGTTAAATATTGACATGAATGAGATGCTATTATAGTTTTTGTTTTTTAAAAAAATGTTGTTTTTTTAATTAATTTCAGTTTTAGTTATTTTAGTACATCAAGTTAAATTAAATACAAATTAGAACGGTTACCATGGCAACTAGTTGAAATTAAATAATTTAAAAATATATTTTATTTCATTTCTAAGGAGCACTGCACATGATATTCAGAAATAAATATGTATAAACTCTTTGTTCCCACGACTTACAACAACAGCATGTTTTACTAATTCGTTCCCTTGTTTTACTAAACATGGCAACATTGCCTCATTTTTAAACCTAAATTGTGCAAACAATATATTAATTTGTTCCCTTGTTTTTAAATGTAAATCATGCTTACTCTATAATAATTAATTCCCTCGTTTTAAGTCAATCGCGCGTTCGATTTAATAATTCGTTCCCACTTTTTTCAAGTCAATTGTGTGTACATACGACATAATTATGTGTTCCCTCGTTTTCCTACATCATGTCCACATTATTTACTCCCTTGTTTTAGTTATATCGAAACGTTGGGATGAATTAGTTCAAGGTGGCCATGAAATATATATTTTCCCCTCATGTAATGTGCGAGACTCGGTGTATTTCAGGTAAGGAAATGCTGTTTTGGCTAATAGTAAGTGATGATGTTGCAGAGATCCTGGTTTTGGGGACGGGAGCTCGCACTGAACGCCTGGACCCGAGCGTGCTGGACTTCCTGAGGAAGAAGGGCATCGCTGTGGAGGTGCAGGACACGGTAACGCCTCACGCTCTCCACACGTCTCTAAACATCACGTGAGCGCAGGGTGACCGCTTAACTCTTCTCTTGCAGCCGAACGCTTGTGCCACGTTCAACTTCCTGTCCAGCGAGAAACGATTGGTAGCAGCCGGTCTGATCCCACCCCCGCCCTCGAGTACCAGCCAATGACAGCGTCTCCCTTGGTGAAATCATCTTTTGTGTCACGTGACCTCTGTAAATGTCTTTATGCTGATGAATGTAGAGTGAATACAGATTAAAGGTATTAAACGCTTGTGTGTGTGTGTGTGTGTGTGTGTGTGTGTGTCCAAGATTGAGGCTGTTAATCCGTCTCTGTCCTCTGTGATAACGGGTTAATCTGAGCTCATGAACACACACTCGTCATCATGTGCACATCTTTATTACCATCTACAACAAACATCACAGAACACACAGAAGTGAAGAAGACTACTGTAGGAAAACATGGCCGTGAAGGAAACCCTTACAACAAACATCAGTGATCCTGTTCAAAAGAAAAGCTCGGTGTGGGTTTGACTCTAGAGTTGATTTGAATTAGCTAAGGCTTCATCTACATTAATCCAGACACACGTATACGGTTCGTCCTTCTCAAGCGGATATACATTATAGTTTGGACTGAAAACGAAGGTGTCTGAAAACGATGCACACATTTAGTCATGTGACACATATCGTACCCATAATTATCCATGTCTATTTGTGCATTTCACTTTCGTAAAGTTGCCAAAGATGAATTTTTGTAGAATCTTCATATTCAATTCCTGCACAGGTGACAGAAGATGTACTGCGGTCCAACATGAGAACGACTGCCTTTGAGACCAAACATGGCGATTTAGTGAGACCAGTAAAAGTGGCCAGATAATTTGCTAATGAAATGATCATGTCAGAAGAATTTGATCAAGTCTGGTGCTGGGGAGCTTTTATCAGATTTCATGCAGTAAGTGTTTTCAGTGTGGACAAGAAACTTTTGGAAAAGTGGATTTCAGATGAATCTGGATTAATGTAGTCGCAGCCTGATGTAGTTTCGTGTTTCTGACCCTGAAAATCAACAGCAGGGGCAAATACTCATCCTTATGGATCGTCCGCCCAAAAACCATCGTTCTGTCATCATGACATTCGTTCTTCAGTAGATATTCTGAAGGACAAAAACCCCCAGATACAGTGTTTCTTAGTTATGTCAGATTGGTAATGATGACAGAAGGATGAGGTTTGGCTGATCTGTCCCTTGTTCATTCGTCAGAATCACCGTCACCATCTCGAGGGTTCCTGAAGATGAACTCTGACCCCGTGATGCGGCGGTACATATCCATGATGTCTTCGGTCTCTGTCTCGAAGTGCGTCGTGGCGTCATATGATCGAGAGATGAAGATCTAGACGAGTAACACAATGAAACCCATGAATCGGCAGCGCTGGCGTCAGGTGACACTAGAGATATAAACACCCACGCGGCCACCTCCTTCCCAAACGCCCACGCGGCGGCCTCCTTCCCACGCGGTCTCCTTCCCAAACGCCCACGCGGCGGCCTCCTTCCCACGCGGTCTCCTTCCCAAACGCCCACGCGGCCTCCGTCCCAAACGCCCACGCGGCCTCCTTCCCAATCGCCCACGCGGTCTCCTTCCCAAACGCCCACCTTCCCAAACGCCCATGTGGCCTCCTTCCTACACGCCCACTCCGTCCCAAACGCCCACGCGGCCTCCTTCCCAAACGCCCACGCGGCCTCCGTCCCAAACGCCCACGCGGCCTCCTTCCCAAACGCCCACGCGGCCTCCGTCCCAAACGCCCACGCGGCCTCCTTCCCAAACGCCCACGCGGCCTCCGTCCCAAACGCCCACGCGGCCTCCTTCCCAAACGCCCACGCGGCCTCCGTCCCAAACGCCCACGCGGCCTCCTTCCCAAACGCCCACGCGGCCTCCTTCCCAATCGCCCACGCGGCCTCCTTCCCAAACGCCCACGCGGCCTCCGTCCCAAACGCCCACGCGGCCTCCTTCCCAATCGCCCACGCGGCCTCCTTCCCAAACGCCCACGCGGCCTCCGTCCCAAACGCCCACGCGGCCTCCTTCCCAATCGCCCACGCGGCCTCCTTCCCAAACGCCCACGCGGCCTCCGTCCCAAACGCCCACGCGGCCTCCGTCCCAAACGCCCACGCGGCCTCCTTCCCAAACGCCCACGCGGCCTCCGTCCCAAACGCCCACGCGGCCTCCTTCCCAATCGCCCACGCGGCCTCCTTCCCAAACGCCCACGCGGCCTCCGTCCCAAACGCCCACGCGGCCTCCTTCCCAATCGCCCACGCGGTCTCCTTCCCAAACGCCCACCTTCCCAAACGCCCATGTGGCCTCCTTCCTACACGCCCACGCGGCCTCCGTCCCAAACGCCCACGCGGTCTCCGTCCCAAACGCCCACGCGGCCTCCTTCCCAAACGCCCACGCGGCCTCCTTCCCAAACGCCCACGCGGTCTCCGTCCCAAACGCCCACGTGGCCTCCTTCCCAATCGCCCACGCGGTCTCCTTCCCAAACGCCCACCTTCCCAAACGCCCATGTGGCCTCCTTCCTACACGCCCACTCCGTCCCAAACGCCCACGCGGCCTCCTTCCCAAACGCCCACGCGGTCTCCTTCCCAAACGCCCACGCGGCCTCCTTCCCAAACGCCCACGCGGCCTCCTTCCCAAACGCCCACGCAGCCTCCGTCCCAAACGCCCACGCGGCCTCCGTCCCAAACGGCCTCCCTCCCAAACGCCCACCTTCCCAAACGCCCATGCGGCCTCCTTCCTACATGCGGCCTCCTTCCCAAACGCCCACGCGGCCTCCTTCCCAAATGATTGATTACATCATTACATCAGTAGGTTACTGTTAAAAACGTGTCTGTCATTGAATCATTTTTCGTTCAAAAATGCTGATTCATCCAGTAATGAAACAAGTGCAGTCTTATGAGTCATTCACTCAACAATAATTAATTCAGATTAATAAACATTTTAAATAGACTGCAGCAATCAAAACTTTGTCCAAGCCTCTAGCAAAAAACATTATTTGGTGTAGTTTCCTGTTCAGAATTGTGGGAGCATCATGATCACTATTTGAAACAAAAATAATGGTGATTCTCAATGTCTCCAGAATCGTGCAGCTCTATGTGACACTTGACTCTGTGTTGATGATGAAAGAAAGCTGCCGGTTTGTTACCTGACTGTGGCGGCCATCGTCCGTCGGGACCATCAGGTTACTGACCGACACAAACCTGCGGGACAAAAGCAGGTGAGTGACACGCATGTCCACCAGCCACAGCTGAGAGGAGAGTGCTCACTTCTGCATAATGGGCTCCAGCAGCGCCAGTCCGGGCTGAACCTCCTTCTCAGGGTTGCTGGTCTCCACCATGGTGCTCACGGCAGCGATGTACTTCCCTTCGGCCGCCACGTTATGAGTGTAGGACAGCAGACACACGTAGATATCTGCACACACACACAGCAGACGCGTCTGACGGCGTTGCAGACCAACACACACACACACAGCAGACGGCGAGCTGCAGACAAACACACACACGCGTGTTCCGGCGCTCACCTGACTTCCGGTTGAGGTGAGTCTGTGGGATGACGATCTGGCAGGAGTTGGCGTCATGTGTGTTTTTGATGGGGTGGTTGAGCAGACAGATGACCCGTATGACGCGGCCGGCCTTCTTCACGCGCTCCGGCACATAACTGGGGTCGCAGATCAGCTGCTTACAGCGGAAGACCTGCATCGGCACGCAAACGCACTCAATAACTGTCCAACACCTATAACTAACAGTAACTATAATGATCATGATCATGGTCATCATGAAGGTGTGTTTCTGCTCACCTCTCCCTCGGATCGCACCGCCGCCACTCGCCCGCCCTCCATCACGATGGCGTCCACGCGTCTGTTCAGCATGTAGCTGTTCCCGTAGACGGCGCTGAGCCTGCAGAGCGACGCGCATCTGTCATGCCTCGTGTGTGTGTGTGTGTGCTCATCGCTCTCGTGTCATGTGTGTCAACCTCAGTTACCTGACGAATCCCTGCGGAAGCTCTCCCAGACCGAACAGCGGGTAGAGATACGGGCTGAGGCTGTAGCGCGCCAGAGACTCGGAGTACAGCTTGATCCGGTTGATGGTCGCCAGACACGGCTGCTCCAGATAACTGACCGACACACACACACAGTTTCATTTACAGATGGTTTCACACACTGAAGGAGAAACTGAGTAACATCTACACAACAGAAGAGACCCCAAACTCCCAGAAGACATTAGCATCGCATGGACAATGTTATATTTCCCTAATACTGTTGATTATCATACGAGTTTCTCACTTGTCGCTGACGTGAAGGGCGAGAGCGTGACCTGTGAACTCCACGACATCATCACCCAGGTCGAAGTGACGGAACACGTCCCTCATGGTGGTCCTGCGAGGGTCCATGTCGTGATGCGTCCGGGGATCGTTCTCCTCAAAGTTTAGGATGAAGGACATGAACTTCCGGAACCTGCGCTTGTCAAACATCCCCATCAGATCTGGAGAAACACCGGGGTTATCAGCGGCAACTCAAGCGAACAACATCCAGAACAACATTTACATCACTGGAAGTAAACTAAACACATATTTAATGTGTGTGTGGGGGGGGGGTTAACTCTCTTCAATAAACAATTCTCACATTCATGGTTGTGATGTGGTCCTTGCTCGTGAACACTTACTTTATATTGAAGAACTAAAACAATAAAAGATAAACAGATGAACTGTAATGGTGAAAGTAGGACCGTTACCTGACGCTTGCGTCTCGGCCTCAGTGCAGGGAACTCTGTGAAGTTTCCCTCCTTTAAACACGAAACTGCCTTCAGCCACCTTGAAGTCCAGATAGCGAGTGACTTCAGTGTAGAGCAGCATCTTCACCAGCTGGCCTGCGATGAAGAGGTGACATCATCATCACCACACACACACTTACACACATACACACACACTCACAGACACTCACACACACGACTCTCACCATTCGCAAGGAGGAACTTGGGAATCAGATCCACATTCCAGTCTTTCCCGCGTCCCATCGGTGTGGAAGGAGCAGAGACCTGGAACCTCTTATAAAGCTGTGCAGAACAACAACACTTTATACAACACAGATCGTTTCAAAGCAACAAGAACATAACAGAATTAGTGTGGCAAACTTCTCAAAGCGTGTGTGTGTGTGTGTGTGTGTGTGTGTGTGATAGCTGACCTCCTCCAGAGGTGAAATGGAGGCGCTCTCTCCTCCATAATACGGGTTACAGTCGATATGAAGGACCTTCTTCCCGTTGACGGACATCAGTCCAGATAAAACACACTCCTGCAGATCATCATCATCATCATCATCATCATGTCAATAACTGACATCAACCAGTCTAATGTTTCTTACCTTCAGTCCCGTTCCCAGGACAATCACATCAAACTCCGGCATTCTGACACTCGACCGTCTGAAACACACACTTCATCCGTCTGTCTCTGTGTGTGTGTGTGTGTGTGTGTGTGTGTAATTGCTTTATTATCCTAAACTCATAATCCTGGTGTCATATGAGGATCACTGACACACACACACACACACACACACACAGTCTGTCTGAGTGCCAGGAGGTCTAGTAATAGGATGAGAATAATACAAAGATACAATTACAATAATTGTAATAAAACAATGTTTATCAATATATATTATTATTAATTGAATGCTCAGTTAAAGTCTGTTTTATTTATTTAGCACCAGGCGCGTCGTTAGACATGGGCTTTCAGGGCTTCAGCCCCAGATGTTGTTGTTTTTAGCCCCGGATCTAAAAAAAAAAAAAAAGATTGATTATTATGACCTAAGGGGTGTATAAAGACCTCATTTCATATGAGTAGAAATCCAGAATTCGTGGAGTGGGTGCTGGCGTCTTGTGGATTACCACTCACCATCGTAACTGTGGACAACAACGCCAGTCCCACTCACAGCCCAGTTCCCAGATAAGAGCACCCAGACTGTGGATCAACAGCATGAGCCCACCACAAGCAGCGAGGGGGAATCCGCTGGTCCCGCCCAACCTCCCACCCCATCTCCAGACCACTTGTAATAAACTTGTATATTTCCTCGATATCTGTCTGTCTCTGCAGTCCCAAGACACTCCTGCCACCCAGACATCTCTTCCTCCCATCAGCAACTCAGCCTCCTCTCTGTGGCCCGGCTGCATCGCCTGCTGGAAGCCATCTCCTCCTGGGAGTGTGGAGACTGTGGCTCCGCCTCCAAACTCTGAGTGCTCCGCCTCCGCTACACCTTTATATGTCACCCTTGCTCCTGCGCTCTCTTACCACCCTTGACTCCAGCGTGGACCATTGGCCATTCGGCCTCCCTCTGTTGGACATTACATCTTCTTCTCCATGGACTTGCGGCCCATTCGCTGCCCTACGGCCCTCCACTTCTTTCGCCTTTGAATAGCCCTGCCCTCCCTCAGGTTCCACCTCCATCTATGGTTGCTGCAGCTCAGCCTCTAACCTCAGGATCGCTGCTTCCACTTCAGGGGGTCGGCGCTGTGGCCTAGTGTAACCCCTCCACCCGGTCCTACTCGCCCCGCTCCGAGCGGGCCTCGAACCCGGGTCTCCGGCGTGAGAGTCGGACGCTCTAGCAAGGAGGCTAAAGACTGCAGCCTCTAGCGTCTGTCGCTAGAGCGCCTATTGAGATCGGGGAGTGAGGTTTACTCGCACAGCAACTACTAGCTGGCCTCCGTTACACTAGTCGCGGTCGCCTAGGTCTTTGTGTCTCACTGCCTCATCGCTTCTCTGGCTACGTGGTGTGCTCCACCTCCGGTAATCCCCTTGGTAGTGTTGGGACTCTTGACTCCATGGCTACTCCATTCTGCGCCGCCGCCGTGGGATGCAGTCCTGACTGTGGGCTGGGGCTCCGTCTGCTCTTCCCTGCGCGAGGCCAAGGTCAAAGGTAGGTAACGTCTGAACATGATTTCGCTCTCCTCAGTCGCTCTGAAGACCTTCAACCTTCAGCTTCTGCACCGAATCTCCATCTACCCGAGGAGCCTGTAGAGAACCTCAGTTAACATACAAGAAACCAAGACAAAAAGAGCCACACGCATCTAATGACTATGACAGATCTGGAAACAAACGCAGCGGTGAAAGGGCTCTGAAGAAACAAGTGGAGTCGTCTTGTCATCTACACTGACGACAGCGACTCTTAATATATCAGGAACGCGTTCATCTCGTTAATTCAATTAATTAACCACCACCTGACAGTAATTAATGTTATCATTTGATTAGGAGTTCCAACTGGCATTGATTTGAAACACGACACATTATGGAGGTTAGCGGGACGAATTTTCTAGTTGTCATATCAACACTGTAGAATCTTAAAACTGTATAGCCTATATATTGAAGATATACTGATCATTTATTTAACCATAGCAACCCAGATAGCAAACTGACATTGAATCAACGTGGAAATATGACATCGAAACAACGTTGATCTGACATTGTTTTGCTCATCGAATTAACGTTGAACCAACGTCAGACGCGCCATTCTTTCAAAACTAACGGAAAATCAACTTGAAATCAACGCGTTGTTTCAACGTTGATTCAATGTCAGTACGTTTTTGTGTTAATTTTATACTAGTCTGATATTATTTTGTCTTATATCTGTTAATTAACATTTTGGATAGTTCTTGAATGCTGGTCTGACAGCAGAAGACGACTAGCCGGGTTTAAATCCTATATTTAAGAGAACTTTGTCCCAGTTGTGCAGGCGTGGCATGCACACTGTGTTGCAATGAGCAAATGATTAGAATTATTGCTTTTCTACTTTATATTTGTATGAATTCTATTGAGAAACCATGAGAAAAGGGTGAATAAACTCTGGGATTCAATGTAAAGAAATTATTAATAGAGGGTGTTCGCGTGACGTCACCGCTGGCCAGAGTGCCTGCAGTTCCTCACAGGAGTCTCATTCATGAAACATTCGTAAATATACGAGTAAATATGAGAGTGATTTGCGCGTAAAGAGACCTTCCCGAAAACTCTTCTCCTGATTCACAAATACTTCGTAAACGTCAAATATGATAGTGAAATGTGTGTGTGTGTTATTGAGCAAGTTATGACTTATGACTAAGCTCCGCCCGTTCCAGTGCTGCGGTCCGTCGGTGAAATAGTTCCGGGTGGGTGTGTGTGTGCGTGTGTGTGTATGTGTGTGAAAGGTCGCGGCTGAAACCCACTGCTGAAAACACCTGTCTGTGTGTCATTAGTCCGTCATTGTGTTTCAGACACACACATCAGTCGCTGTCTGGACCCGCACGAGCCGATCATGTCGAAGCCGCAGCCCATCAGCCCGATGAAGAACTTCTTCGCCGGCGGCTTCGGGGGAGTGTGCCTAGTGTTCGCTGGACACCCGCTGGACACCATCAAAGTAACAACATCATTATTATTCAGCTTATTTTCATTATTAGTTTGTTTAGTGTTCGCTGGATTTTATCAGGGCCAAAGTAGTCCTTGCTGCCATTATATTATAGTGATTCACTTTGATAAAAGGGTCATTCAGCATTATATAGTACAGTAATTTCTGTTTTGTGTAAAATGTGGTCTGAAGAATCTACAGAGGAGTTTGGAAAATGTGAGCCTGGAAAAGAATGGCAGTTTTAAGAGGAACACATATAGGAATCCTTTATATATTAGTTGTGTGATGCGTGTCAATGGGATGAGTGAGATAACCCCTGGACTTATGACCTTTGACCTGAATCTGTTGGTGTGGTCAGGAGTGTCTTATTGAACAGTGTGTGTGTTGTCATGTGGTCATGTGCAGGTGCGACTGCAGACGCAGCCCATACCCCGTCCAGGGGAATCTGCGCTTTACAGCGGGACGTTCGACTGCTGCAAGAAAACCCTGGCGAAAGAGGTGCGTCTGTCTCACTGCATCTGTCTCACTGCACCCGTCTCACTGCGTCTGTCTCACTGCACCCGTCTCACTGCGTCTGTCTCACTGCACCCGTCTCACTGCGTCTGTCTCACTGTATTTGTCTCACTGCGTCTGTCTCACCGTATCTGTCTCACTGCACCCGTCTCACTGCACCTGTTTCAATGAATTTATTGCGTCCGTCTCACTGTATCATAGCTGTATGGTGATAGTGATACCCGTCTGTCTCACTGCGCCTGTCTCACTGTATCTGTCTCACTGCGTCTGTCTCACTGCACCCGTCTCACTGCACCCGTCTCACTGCGTCAGTCTCAATGAATTTATTGCGTCCGTCTCACTGTATCATAGCTGTATGGTGATAGTGATCCCTGTCTGTCTCACTGCGTCTGTCTCACTGCACCTGTCTCACTGCACCCGTCTCATTGCGTCTATCTCACTGCGTCTGTCTCACTGCACCCGTCTCACTTCACCCGTTTCACTGCACCCGTCTCATTGCGTCTGTCTCACTGCACCTGTCTCACTGCGTCTGTCTCACTGCACTCGTCTCATTGCGTCTATCTCACTGCACCTGTCTCACTGTGTCTGTCTCACTCTGTCTGTCTCACTGTGTCTGTCTCACTCTGTCTGTCTCACTGCACCCGTCTCACTGCGTCTGTCTCACTGCACCCATCTCACTTCACCCTCCTCACTGCACTCGTCTCATTGCGTCTATCTCACTGCGTCTGTCTCACTCTGTCTGTCTCACTGCACCCGTCTCACTGCACCTGTCTCACTGCGTCTGTCTCACTGCGTCTTTCTCACTGCGTCTGTCTCACTGCGTCTTTCTCACTGCACCCGTCTCACTGCGTCTGTCTCACTGTACCTGTCTCACTGCTGTCTCACTGCACCTGTCTCACTGAGTCTTTCTCACTGCACCCGTCTCACTGCGTCTGTCTCACTGCACCTGTCTCACTGCACCCGTCTCACTGCACCCGTCTCACTGCACTGCACCTGTCTCACTGCACCTGTCTCACTGCACCCGTCTCACTGCACCCGTCTCACTGCACCCGTCTCAATGAATTGATTGCGTCCGTCTCACTGTATCAAAGCTGTATGGTGATGGTGATAGCTGTCTGTCTCACCGCACCTGTCTGTCTCTCAGGGTCTGCGAGGGCTCTATAAGGGCATGGCGGCCCCCATCATCGGAGTCACGCCCATGTTCGCTGTCTGCTTCTTCGGGTTCGGCCTCGGGAAGAAGCTTCAGCAGAAAACACCCGACGACGCTCTGACGTGAGGCGCTGATGATGATCACATTAATTCACTTATTGTCCTTTTGATTCGGAGTGAAGCAAAATCATGCATGAGATTAAAAAGTCACAATTTTTAGATAAAAGGTCATAATCATGAGATAAATGTGTGTGTGTGTGTCAGGTATCCGCAGCTGTTTGCGGCCGGTATGCTCTCGGGTGTGTTCACCACGGCCATCATGGCTCCAGGAGAGAGAATCAAATGCCTCCTGCAGGTGAGGGACACAGATGTGCTGCGCTATTCCACATGCCAACCGTGTGTGTGTGTGTATGACGAGTGTGTGTGTGTGTTTGCAGATCCAGGCGGCGACTGGAGAGGTGAAGTACTCGGGGCCGATGGACTGTGTGAAGCAGCTGTACAGAGAGAACGGCCTCCGCAGCATCTATAAGGGAACGGCTCTGACGCTCATGAGAGGTCAACTGTGTTCACACACAGATAAACTTTTACAACATTAGTTGAACCAGCATTCAGTTGTTAACTAAGAGACTAAAACTATTAAAAACATTTTCTTTAATTCCTTTAATAAAGCTGAAATGAACATTAGACATGAGTGTGATGATGATTGACAGCTGTCACTCTGTGTCTCAGATGTGCCGGCCAGTGGGATGTACTTCATGACCTACGAGTGGCTGAAGTATTCGCTCACGCCGGAGGGCAAGAGGTCAGTCGGGTCACATGACCAACGCTTATCACTCGACCCGTCTGCCCGATCTCATGTGTGTGTGTGTTTGTGTGTGTGATCAACAGTCCAACGGAGCTCAGCATTCCCAGCATCCTCTTCGCCGGCGGGATGGCGGGGATCTTCAACTGGGCCGTGGCGATTCCTCCCGACGTGCTGAAGTCTCGTTTCCAGACCGGTACGTGTGTGTGTGTGTGTGTGTGTGCGTGTGTGTGTGTGCGTGTGTATGTGAGTGACAGTGTGTGTGTGTGTGTATCCGCAGCTCCTGAAGGCAAGTATCCGCACGGTTTCCGGGACGTCCTGCGAGAGCTGCTGCGCGAGGAGGGCGTCGGCTCGCTCTATAAGGGCTTCACCGCTGTGATGCTCAGAGCGTTTCCTGCTAATGCGGTGCGACACACTCAACACTACGGGGTCACACGAGGGTCAAACCGCTCACACTTCACTCCTAAACCTCATTCCACTCTCTTTTTCACTCAATTCTCACAAATGAATCCTTCTTTGGCAAATCATGATTATGAGATAAAGGTCAATTATGATGATAAATAAACAAATTCCACATTTTAATCTCATAATTACGACTTTAATTGAACAATTCACTTTTTATGTCATAACTTCCACTCTTTATCTCATAAATGCAACTTATGTTTAATAGTTATATTTAAACTCATACTAATACCTTCACATTTTAATCTCATAATTACGACTTATTAAATAAATGCCCTGTAAATCAAATTTTTTACTTTTTATCTCATTATATGAATACATCTCATATTTCATGAAAAACGATTTATTAAATGAAATTCATATGTCACAATTGTATATTTTTTGTCTTATAATTCTGATTTTTTAAATGTAATAAATGACCTCTCTGTCGTGATTGTGACGAGGCTTGCACAGGCCGACTCGATGAAGTCGATGAGCCGTCCCTCTTCCAGCAGGTCGTAACCCTGTGTCCTGTTCCCTCAGGCCTGCTTTCTGGGCTTTGAAGTGGCCATGAAGTTTCTGAACTGGATCGCTCCAAATCTGTGATCCAGAACCGGAAGGGACAGCAGATCACGCGTACGGATCGGTCCCAACAGAGCGAACCGCCGGACTCCAGCACACGTTAATGAATGTGTCGCGGCTTTATGATTTATCTGAGAGGACTGTAATCTGTAATAGTGCCTTATAGCAGACTGTGGTGCGACCTCTGCCTTCAGGGAAACCCATAACCTTTGACCTGTCCGTACACGAGCACGTTACTTCGGTCTCGCCCTCACGACAGGAGTCCAGTACACAGTCAAGGCCTGTTTCTTTTAGAGTTTGGTTCATTATGTTTAATTCTCAGTCATTATCACCTACATCATGTACATAAATAAATGTATATTGATCATTTTCATATGATGCTGTATTGATTTGTGTCCTCATGTCATCTTACCTCTAAATCTATTTTATGTAATAATTTGAACTGTTTATGCCATAATTACGACTTCTTTAATAAACCACGTTTAATTGTGAGTTTTTAATTTAACATTTAGCTTTTGTCATGGATTTTACTTTTTATCTCGGAATTACAACTTCAATCTCATAAATGGACTTTTACACAGCAAAATCCTCAGAGTTAAACTAACAAGTTAAAGAGTCAAACTGACCCACTAAAGCAAACACTGGTCACCATAATGCTGACAAAGCCAAAAACATCAGTATTTAATTCTCAATAGGAACTTGAATGGCAGAACTAAAGTAAATAGTGAAGCTGGTAATGATGTTTGCGTAGTTCGATCGAGAGACTTAAGTCGGTGTTAGTTCATGTGTTTCTCTTTTCTTCTTCTTGTTAACAGCAGCTGTTCATCACTAATGCTCAATAATATCTTAATTAATCACTTCATTATCTCATTACCTGTAACTGGGATTCAGAGTTACTAGTGGGCCACATGTGCTGTCAGGAGAGGTCATGAACTTGTAGTTTGAGTGAATGTTCCTGTGCAGATTTAACATGATCATTTGAGATGAATATGCTTATTAAAATGGGACAGTACAAAAGCAGGAGGTGTAGATGGCCGACCAGCAGTCAGTCCTGATGTGTTTTGAGGACAGTCGATATTTTCCGCTGCGATGGTCGATGCGTCAGGAGTCGATGCTTCTGTCCTCAGGGAAGATCCCAGTCAAACCAGTGCCGACGAGCCGCGGTGAAGCAGAGACAGGAGTTGTGCTGTGGATCAGGGCTGGACGTGTGTGATTATTGACCGCTGAGGCGTCAGGATGAGTGTGGATGTTCCCGCGGGATTGACGGATCTCCTGAAGGGATACACCCTGGAGGTCCTGAAGCAGAGGCCCGTGGACCTGCTGGAGTTCGCGGTCCAGCACTTCACCCGCCTGAAGGAGCGCAGGAGCGTCCCCATCCCCAGCAGATCCCCCGTGACCCGCGGAGTGGCCTTCGACCAGGACTCTGCTCCCACCGACGAGGAGGACGACGAACACGGACAAGAGGAGGAGGAGGAGGAGGAGGAAGAGGAGGATGACTTTCCGGATGATTTCACTTTCAAAGGTGGGACTTATAAAGTCAAGAACTGAAGCATGACTGTCTAACAGTTCAGTTCGAAATTGCTTTATTGCCATGACTGTAAATAATACAGTATTTAGCTTGGAATAGAATAATTATTAAAAAAAAAACAAGGAAACACTAGAAGAACGTTTTATAACATAACTGAAATGGAACAGTGTAACAGACAAGTAAATATGTGAACATGTCATCCCACTATCTGGAGATAAACTATTAGAAACGTCCAGATTTCAGTCGAGCGCGATCTGAGGTTGTCCATCCTCCTTTCCTTCTCTCAGCTGTTAGTGATGTCAGCTCTTATGAAATATGATCATCAGAGACTCATGGGAAACTCAGTCTGGAGACGACGGGCACAGGCAATGCTTTAATGTGTATTTTTCAATACTTGTATGAGACAGTGACCCTTATTTCTCTCTCTCTGTGTGTCTCTCTCTCTCTCTCTCTCTCTCTCTCTGTGAGTGTCTCTCTCTCTCTCTCTCTCTCTCTCTCTCTCTGTGTGTCTCTCTCTCTCTCTCTGTGTCTCTCTCTCTCTCTCTGTGTCTCTCTCTCTCTCTCTGTGTGTGTGTCTCTCTCTCTCTAGCTCCTCCTCCCAGTAAATGCAACAGACGGGTCTCAGGTAAAGTGTTTCTCCGTGTGTCTGAGGATTTTTTAGTACCATTGAGATATTATTATAGTTTTTTTGTTTTCATTTTGAATGTGTTTAATTTGATACTTTTGGATTTCTTTATTTGTTTGTTGTTTTTCCTTGTATTTGGCAATAACTTTTTTTCTGAATTTCTCAAGAGTTTGTATGATTTTTTTAATTAGTTTTAGTTATTCTAGTACTTCAAGGAAAACTAACTGGAAATGTTGCCTTGCCCACTGGCTGAAATAAAATAAGTTATGCTCATTTATATTTAGTTTTATTTCAGTAAATGTTTTTTTTCAAAACATGTTATAATTGAATTTTACAACAAATTTGACAAAACAACACAACATAAACAAACTCAAGATGTCTCAAGAACATCTCCCAAATTTTGTAAAATTCAGAAGACTTCCCCTTGATCAACGTCAGCTCAAGGGCCAAACTGGATATCAAGTGTTTGGAGATGGTCCTCACTGCAGAACATGAATCCACGGGGAGGAGTCGGATCCAGATCCAGCTCCTCCCACCTTACATACACCTAAACCTTCCCAACTCCGCCCCCTGATCCCTAACCCCACCCCTCAGTCATCCCACCCACCTCCACCCCTTGGATCTTGATCCGACTCCTCCCCGTGGATCTCATGTACTGCATTGAGGTGCCACTGAGTTTTTCAGCCAAAGTTCAAGGGTCGGTCGACGTGTGTTCCTCCAGTAAAGGGCATCTGAGCGCCTGGTTTGTAGTCGGCACTAATTCACCAGTCAATGGCAGAGAGCAATCGTCCACACAGACACCCAATACACACATTACCAGACTTACATCACTTTCCTCATGAATGTGTGTTATAATGAAGCCCTGATGTCTTGAGCGAGACTCTGACTGTGTTCCTCAGTGTGTGCGGAGGCTTATAACCCTGATGAAGACGAAGACGAGGCCGTGAAGCCGAAGGTGATTCACTATAAAACAGAGGCTCAGCGTCAGCGTCTGCAGGAGGCCTGCGGGGACATACTACTGTTCAAAACACTGGAGCAGGTGAACATCAGCCTTCACACACACTGCACACGCGGGACACCAGCGCATGGGTGACGCCTGTCTGTCTGCCTGTCTGTCTGTCTGTCTGTCTGTCTCAGGATCAGTTCACTGAGGTGTTAGACAGCATGTTTGAGGTGCTGGTCAAACCACACGACAGCATCATCAATCAGGGGGACGATGGCGATAACTTCTACGTCATCGAGAGGTGAGACGGTCTGTCTCTCTGACACCTGTCTGTCTCTCTGAAACCTGTCTGTCTCTCTGGCACCCGTCTGTCTCTCTGTCTTTCTGACACCCGTCTGTCTCTCTGAAACCCGTCTGTCTCTCTGTTTCTCTGGCACCCGTCTGTCTCTCTGTCTTTCTGACACCCGTCTGTCTCTCTGTCTTTCTGACACCCGTCTGTCTCTCTGTCTCTCTGAAACCTGTCTGTCTCTCTGTCTCTCTGGCACCCGTCTGTCTCTCTGTCTTTCTGACACCCGTCTGTCTCTCTGTCTTTCTGACACCCGTCTGTCTCTCTGTCTCTCTGAAACCCGTCTGTCTCTCTGTTTCTCTGGCACCCGTCTGTCTCTCTGTCTTTCTGACACCCGTCTGTCTCTCTGTCTCTCTGGCACCCGTCTGTCTCTCTGTCTCTCTGGCACCCGTCTGTCTCTCTGTCTTTCTGACACCCGTCTGTCTCTCTGTCTCTCTGAAACCTGTCTGTCTCTCTGGCACCCGTCTGTCTCTCTGGCACCCGTCTGTCTCTCTGGCACCCGTCTGTCTCTCTGTCTTTCTGACACCCGTCTGTCTCTCTGAAACCCGTCTGTCTCTTTGGCACCCGTCTGTCTCTCTGTCTTTCTGACACCCGTCTGTCTCTCTGAAACCCGTCTGTCTCTCAGAAACCTGTCTGTCTCTCTGTCTCTCTGACACTCGTCTGTCTCTCTGAAACCCGTCTGTCTCTCTGATACCCGTCTGTCTCTCCAACACTCATCTGTCTCTCCGACACTCGTCTGTCTCTCCGACACTCGTCTGTCTCTCTGAAACCCGTCTGTCTCTCTGACACCCGTCTGTCTCTTTGACACCCGTCTGTCTCTTTGACACCCGTCTGTCTCTCTGACACTCGTCTGTCTCTCTGAAACCCGTCTGTCTCTCTGACACTCGTCTGTCTCTTTGACACCCGTCTGTCTCTCTGACACTCGTCTGTCTCTCTGACACTCGTCTGTCTCTCTGACACTCGTCTGTCTCTCTGACACCCGTCTGTCTCTCTGACACCCGTCTGTCTCTCTGACACTCGTCTGTCTCTCTGACACTCGTCTGTCTCTTTGACACTCGTCTGTCTCTCTGACACTCGTCTGTCTCTCTGACACTCGTCTGTCTCTCTGACACTCGTCTGTCTCTCTGACACCCGTCTGTCTCTCTGACACCCGTCTGTCTCTCTGACACTCGTCTGTCTCTCTGACACTCGTCTGTCTCTTTGACACTCGTCTGTCTCTCTGACACTCGTCTGTCTCTCTGACACTCGTCTGTCTCTCTGACACTCGTCTGTCTCTTTGACACCCGTCTGTCTCTCTGACACTCGTCTGTCTCTCTGACACTCGTCTGTCTCTCTGACACTCGTCTGTCTCTCTGACACCCGTCTGTCTCTCTGACACTCGTCTGTCTCTCTGACACTCGTCTGTCTCTCTGACACTCGTCTGTCTCTTTGACACTCGTCTGTCTCTCTGACACTCGTCTGTCTCTCTGACACTCGTCTGTCTCTTTGACACCCGTCTGTCTCTCTGACACTCGTCTGTCTCTCTGACACTCGTCTGTCTCTCTGACACTCGTCTGTCTCTCTGACACTCGTCTGTCTCTCTGACACTCGTCTGTCTCTCTGACACTCGTCTGTCTCTTTGACACCCGTCTGTCTCTCTGACACTCGTCTGTCTCTCTGACACCCGTCTGTCTCTTTGACACCCGTCTGTCTCTCTGACACTCGTCTGTCTCTCTGACACTCGTCTGTCTCTCTGACACTCGTCTGTCTCTTTGACACCCGTCTGTCTCTCTGACACTCGTCTGTCTCTCTGAAACCCGTCTGTCTCTCTGACACTCGTCTGTCTCTCTGACACTCGTCTGTCTCTCTGAAACCCGTCTGTCTCTTTGACACCCGTCTGTCTCTCTGACACACACCCGTCTGTCTCTCTGACACCCGTCTGTCTCTTTGACACCCGTCTGTCTCTCTGACACTCGTCTGTCTCTCTGACACTCGTCTGTCTCTCGGACACTCGTCTGTCTCTTTGACACCCGTCTGTCTCTCTGACACTCGTCTGTCTCTCTGAAACCCGTCTGTCTCTCTGACACTCGTCTGTCTCTCTGACACTCGTCTGTCTCTCTGAAACCCGTCTGTCTCTTTGACACCCGTCTGTCTCTCTGACACACACCCGTCTGTCTCTCTGACACTCATCTGTCTCTCTGACACCTGTCTGTCTCTCTGACACTCGTCTGTCTCTCTGAAACCCGTCTGTCTCTCTGACACTCGTCTGTCTCTCTGAAACCCGTCTGTCTCTTTGACACCCGTCTGTCTCTCTGACACACACCCGTCTGTCTCTCTGACACTCATCTGTCTCTTTGACACCCGTCTGTCTCTCTGACACTCGTCTGTCTCTCTGACACTCGTCTGTCTCTCTGAAACCCGTCTGTCTCTTTGACACCCGTCTGTCTCTTTGACACCCGTCTGTCTCTCTGACACTCGTCTGTCTCTTTGACACCCGTCTGTCTCTCCGACACTCGTCTGTCTCTCCGACACTCGTCTGTCTCTCTGAAACCCGTCTGTCTCTCTGACACCCGTCTGTCTCTTTGACACCCGTCTGTCTCTTTGACACCCGTCTGTCTCTCTGACACTCGTCTGTCTCTCTGAAACCCGTCTGTCTCTCTGACACTCGTCTGTCTCTTTGACACCCGTCTGTCTCTCTGACACTCGTCTGTCTCTCTGACACTCGTCTGTCTCTCTGACACTCGTCTGTCTCTTTGACACCCGTCTGTCTCTCTGACACTCGTCTGTCTCTCTGAAACCCGTCTGTCTCTCTGACACTCGTCTGTCTCTCTGACACTCACTCGTCTGTCTCTCTGACACTCGTCTGTCTCTCTGACACTCGTCTGTCTCTCTGACACTCGTCTGTCTCTCTGACACTCGTCTGTCTCTCTGACACTCGTCTGTCTCTCTGACACTCGTCTGTCTCTCTGACACCCGTCTGTCTCTCTGACACTCGTCTGTCTCTCTGACACTCGTCTGTCTCTCTGACACTCGTCTGTCTCTCTGACACCCGTCTGTCTCTCTGACACCCGTCTGTCTCTCTGACACTCGTCTGTCTCTCTGACACTCGTCTGTCTCTCTGACACTCGTCTGTCTCTTTGACACTCGTCTGTCTCTTTGACACCCGTCTGTCTCTCTGACACCCGTCTGTCTCTTTGACACCCGTCTGTCTCTCTGACACTCGTCTGTCTCTCTGAAACCCGTCTGTCTCTCTGAAACCCGTCTGTCTCTCTGAAACCCGTCTGTCTCTTTGAAACCCGTCTGTCTCTTTGACACCCGTCTGTCTCTTTGACACCCGTCTGTCTCTCTGACACTCGTCTGTCTCTTTGACACCTGTCTGTCTCTCTGACACTCGTCTGTCTCTCTGACACTCGTCTGTCTCTCTGACACTCGTCTGTCTCTCTGACACTCGTCTGTCTCTCTGACACCCGTCTGTCTCTCTGACACTCGTCTGTCTCTCTGACACTCGTCTGTCTCTCTGACACTCGTCTGTCTCTTTGACACCCGTCTGTCTCTCTGACACTCGTCTGTCTCTCTGAAACCCGTCTGTCTCTCTGACACTCGTCTGTCTCTCTGACACTCGTCTGTCTCTCTGAAACCCGTCTGTCTCTTTGACACCCGTCTGTCTCTCTGACACACACCCGTCTGTCTCTCTGACACTCATCTGTCTCTCTGACACCTGTCTGTCTCTCTGCAGGGGTGTGTTTGATATCCTAATCCAGAAGGACGGCGTCAGCTGCTGTGTGGGTCGCTACGATAATAAAGGCAGCTTCGGTGAACTCGCGCTCATGTACAACACGCCGCGGGCCGCCACCATCAGGGCTGCTCAGGAGGGGGCACTGTGGGCGCTGGTGAGGTCACTTCCTGCTCTGCAGCTTCAGCTTCCTGTGTTTCGCTCTTCACACTTTTTCTCAACAATTTTTTCAAAACCCTTTCCCAACTTTCTGCTCGGCATAGCAAAAACACGGCGTTCGTATCTCGAATCCAGCACACTAGCCACGTTTGTTGCTCATAAAACATCTAAAACACGAACAAAACTGAGTACAATCTCTAGAGTGCTGTTGTGCTTCACTGTGTACTGATGAATGAGTCTGAATGCAATAAACCAACCAGAGTCTCCCATTCCCTTTAAAAGCCAGTTATGCTCGCGCCATGGCGGATTCGCTATTTACACGGCGGAATTTGCAAGCGGAAAAACTGAACTCTTCTTTAGCGAGGAACCGGACCGCTCATGCGCGAGGTTATCATCAAAGTGAAGGCTCGTTGTGGACCCGCCTCGTTGTGGCGCACATTATGAACACGTACTTTAAAGAACGAAAACAATATTGTGCCATTGACTTCAGCCCAGGGTTCAGTTGGTCAACGGCTCAGTCTACTTCAGTTCCTCAGAACAGCAACGCTCCATCAATGCTCCTGAACACACACTCGTTCTCAGACCAGCAGCCCACGGGCCACAGATGGCTAATGCATTCGCTATTTAAACAACGTGGAGTCGGACGTGAAAATGAAAACTGCGTCGGGCTGAAACTAGTAAAACACACATGCGTGGGATGTATGATAGGGCCCTGCATTCGTGTCTCAAATCAAACTCTTCCAGAATACTAGCAAAACTTTTCGCTCAAAAAGCAATCATCTAAAACGCTAACAAACTGAGTATTGATGAATGAGTCCTGGTGATTGTAATACTGTGATTCTGTGTGGTTAGGACAGAGCCACGTTCCACAGACTCATCGTGAGGAATAATGCCAAGAAGAGGAAGATGTACGAGCACTTCATCGAGAGCGTGCCGCTGCTCAAGTCTCTGCAGGTGCGTCGAGTCGGGAGCTTCACTGCGCTGCTGTCGTTCGCTTCATGACCCTCTCTCTCTCTCTCTCTCTCTCTCAGCCCTCCGAGCGCATGAAGATCGTCGACGTCCTGGGGATGAAGAGCTTCAGAGACGGAGAGCTGATCATACGGCAGGTGGATTACCTTCCAGATTACCTTTATTGTCTACCAAATCATCTTTGATTTATTCACAAATTATCTTTGATTTTCTTTGAGTTGATAATTTAGTTGTTTTTTTTACAATATTACAGCCCTATGTTATTTTTGATGTGTTCAGAAATTCTCTGTTTTCAGAAACTGAAACTAAAACCATAAAATATTTTTTTTAAATACATTTTATTCAAGGTACATTCTACTGTACAATTGTAATAAATGTCTGTCACAATTTCTTCAGGTTATTAAACGATTTCTTCAGAATATTAAACACTCTTTAAAGGGTTAGTTCACCCAAAAATGAAAATTCTGTCAGTATTTACTCGCCCTCATGTTGTTCCAAACCTCTCTGTGTTTATTTGTTCTGCTGAACACAAAGGAAGATATTTGGAAGAATTTTTTAATCAAACAGATCTCATTCCCCATTGACTACCATAGTATGTATTTTTCTACTACAGTAGTCAATGGGGAATGAGATCTGTTTGATTAAAACATTCTTCCAAATATCTTCCTTTGTGTTCAGCAGAACAAATAAACACAGAGAGGTTTTTTGAGTGAACTAACCCTTTAATATTCACACACGCTAGTCCATATCGCAATCTGATTATCCAAACTCTGCAAATCTACAGTGAATTGGATGGTTTTGTTCGCTGTAGTTTTGAGATGAGCATGTTGTTCTGCGGTTCCTCAGGGAGATTCGGCCGACTGCTTCTACATCGTGGAGACTGGAGAAGTCCGGATCATGATCAGGAGCAGAGTAAGAACCTCACACACACACACACACACACACGGACACTCGTCCTCGGCCCAACTGGCGCTCACACACTCCTGTCTCCACAGACTAGCACAGGTCAGAGGTCAGAGCAGGAGCTGGAGGTGGCGCGCTGCACGCGGGGACAGTACTTCGGCGAGCTGGCGCTGGTCACCAATAAACCGCGAGCGGCGTCAGTGTACGCGGCAGGAGACACCAGGTGTTTAGGTAAGAACGGCGTTCAGCTCTTCAAACGATGGTTTCATACAGAGATAGTTGGGGTTTGATACGCTCTGATGGTCTGATGTCCGACACACATCCTGATTTATTCAGAATACGATTCCCTCATGTCTCCATTCGACACATATCACTGATTCTGGAAATACAATATTATTGCGATACTCCAAGACATATGATCACTGCGCAAGACGATAGTACAAAAACAGAACACATTCCTCATGGATGATGATATGGTAGATCTCACAGCTTTCAGAAATGAACGAAATCAGAGTCCAGAAGGAGCCGAGCCATTCACGATTTTAAAAACCATACACACATTTGAAATAATGTCTAAAATTTTCAAAATTCAAATAAATTGTTTTTCTAAGATCCAACAATGATGAAAATGTTTGTTTTTTATCTAAAATGTTTACAGTCTTTGAAAGGATTGTAGCACGCGTATAAGTCTTAGCTGCATCTACAGAGAGACTAATTTGTCTAAAAATTTACCAAATTATATTTAATACTCTTCAAAATTTAGGTCCAATATTACGGCAAGATAATTAAACTCATTAACTATTTACTATCACTAACTAGCTCTGCTGTTCTTGCATGTGTGAATATAAGAGTATTAATATACAGACTGAATAATAAGGGACCTGACACTGACCCTTGGGCTACCCCTGTTATTCAATGTAAATTACAGGATTTGACCCCTTTAATTTTTACACATTGTTCTCTATTTCATAAATATGAGGATACCCAAGCTAGAGCTTTAGATGAAAACTGAAACGTTGACAGTTTATAAAGGAGAAGGCATGATTAACTGTATCAAAGGCTTTACGCAAATCTATAGATATAACGCGGACTCCTCCTCTTCTGTCAGTGTTAGACGTGATTCGCTCTACTAAGTGTACAGGAGCTGTAAACCTGTACGAGGTAAGCCGGACGGTGTTGAGATGGGTACATTAGTTGCTCTAAACCCGCCCAGCCCCGACGTAAGCATGACGTGCTAAAAGAACGGTTCTAGTCCAGCAAAGAGTTGGTGGCGCTTTTTCTCGGCCGTGAACCGGTTGTTTGGCTATCGAAACACAAAGAACTGGTTGGTGTGCAGGCTCCGGCTCCGAACCCGCTCTCAAAACGCTTTGGTGGAAAAGGGGCTAAACACCACCGCTGTTGGGCTCCGGTTCCGGGATATTATCGGTTCTGAGAAAACGACCTCACCCTTCAGAAACTACCGTCCACCTTAGAAGATAATCCAAAAGGAAACTCGCAATAGGGCGGGCATCGAACTGGCGGATGAGGAACTCTTTCAAGCTCCCAACATCACACTTCTACCAGTTCTACTCCCTCGAAACCAAGGCAAACCAGACCGACATCGTCCCATGGACAACCGCTGGATGCCTTGGCTTCTGGATTGCGGTCCCACCATTCTGCCCCATCAGTACAACCCCGAAGGCGAACGAACAAGGTCAGTGTGTAAGCATGTTGTTTGCAGGGTGTGCTGTTGCATGAGAGGTGCTAGTCACCCATAGAAGACTGGGCTCCATTTAAGGTCTGTTAGCCCCGACCACCTTCCCTGCGTGCTGTCCTAGTGGACCCAGGGGGGCTGGATACTTACCGCCCTCCCAAACAACCCTTCGTTAACACCGCAAGGTATCCAGGTTACTCGGAAAAGGCCTGCGGGGAATGGTCTACTTCTCAAGGGCCCTATGGCAGCCCTGCTGACTTAACCAAGGAGGTCTTGCCCAGGAAGCCCCCAAACTGCAACATGTTGCCCGATCCTTCTAACTCCTCACACAAGACCCCCTTCACCTACTCCAGTACAGAAGGTCAAGACTCGTGGATGCACATTTCTGTGCACAAATCCCTTCCCTTTGAGAGCAGAAAAAGAGACTGAACAGAAACAATCCTTACCAAAAAGGACGTATTCGTCAGCCGCTGATACCACCAGATGGCATCGCTCTGATATATGCTTTTCTGACTTAGCACCCACAACCCCGGTGAATTTTTTTTTTCCTGATTAGGTCAACCAGGTGTAGCAAATTAGCGAAATTTATCAATTTACCAATCAATCAATCAATCAAATACCCAATTGAATGAGAACTTAAGGGCATTTAGGAGATAAACCGAACCCAGTGCGGTACCAATTCCGATTGGCATAATCATCTCAGAGATATACCATTGAAGATTTCCTTTCAGTTACCAGGCCCTGTTGACTCCCTGAAATAAGGCCATTCCTCCATCCGTTAGATCAGAAGTACAAGATCTCAAAATAAGATAAATTCTGTACTCCAATCTCTTACTTCTAGAACAGAGTGGACTTGGTTGATAAACCCACAAAAATAGTTATAACTACTATTCATATCTTATGCCATCTAACAGCACCCTCTGAAACATATGCTTTTTTGTTACGGTTCCCACAACCGCGGTGAGAAATCTCTCCTAAATTTGCCTCTAGTGGCCTAACCAGGTAATACAGGGGTGAACAAAAATTAAAATTACTAAATAGAACCCAATAAAATAAGAACCAAAAGTGTTTATAGGAATTAAGCAAAAACCAAATCCTGCTCGGTACCAATTCCATAAAACTATTATTGATGAGGAAGACCCATGTGGTTTAATCACCAAAGGGCTGTTCTGGGTAGGGTTAGAGTTAAATAAAAGTCACTCAAGTTAAATCGTTCTACAGTAATACCGTAAACTTACAATGAGAAATTCCTTTTTACATGTCAAACAAACCAACATTATAAAACAAAACAACATCCATTAGTGCGAAATCCTCATAATGCCAATATGACCAAACACTTCATTACATTATTAATGTGCAAGGGATTATGGGTATTTCCTCAATGGGCCGATGAAATGGTATGAAGTTCAGCTGATCTTCTGTTACAAAATACATCAACAAATAAAGTCAATATAGGAATTACATGACGGTATTCCTTGAATATTTATATCTCGTCTGTGTGTGTGTGTGTGTGTGTGTGTCAGTGATCGACGTGCAGGCGTTCGAGCGTCTCCTGGGCTCCTGCAAGCAGATCCTGAAGAGGAACATCTGGCAGTACGAGCAGCAGCTGGAGGCCGTCTTCGGGTCCCGAGTCGACGACACACACTGAACACACACTCAACACACACACACACTCTCCACGTGTAAACGCTTGTATAGACTGGATCAGCAGGACAGCGGAGCTCATCTTCAGTGTCGTCTCGAGATGATGATGATGATGTCACACTGATCTGACATGTATTGAGCAACTGTTATTCTGATGAACCACTATATTAAGCAATCTCTAGGACACATGATTATATACACTAGATGTCCCAGATAAACCCAGCAGGGTTTGTGGGTAAGAATCGATGGGCCCTCGAGTGTGTCGGGAGCATGTTTGTGGAGTCCTAAAGTTAAAGTGTTTTAGATAATATATCAGATTCCCGACAGACCCACAGATGATTATTAGTCACGTCACCAACTCCAGCGTCAGCTGTTCATATCTGACACATGTCTAGCTCTGAGACACAGGGGTGTGTGTGTGTGTGTGTGTGTGTGTGCCCTTAGAGAACAGAACTACTCAATGACAGGCAGGAGTGGATCATTTGATCTAATCTGGAAACCCTCAATAATATATATATATAGTGTCACATGACTTGATTTGAGAGTTGCTTTTCTGACTGATTGACTTTGTCTCCCGTTCCCCTTTGTGTCTTGCCGTAAGAAGTGCTGTCAAAAACATCCTGACTTTCTTTTCTGCAAATGGACTTCCTGCTTATCCGTTTTATTTGCCCTTTTTCTGACGAATAAATGCTCAAAGAGTGACAAAAACAAGTTATGTACTTTTTTTTTTATTTGAGTAAGAAAATTTGAAGTGCCCGCAACAAACCCAGCGAAGAGCTGCCAGCCCAAAGTCTCGTATTTACAACACAAAAGCGTTCTGGTTCTGCACTTATTCCCTCCAGATCCCGAAGGTAAGGCCGACTCGTCCGGGCTCCTGTCCTCTCGCAGGGTTTTAAATATTTAAAATATTTACAGTCCGGCAAACCTGAGACGCCATGATCCTGTCGGTTTGCCGTCGGAAACGATCCCAATGTTCAGTCCTCTACGGGGACCACATGACCAGTTAAAAACACATATTTATGTTACAATAACTTCTATGATTCGCTCTTCAAAAAATAGACTCAAAATCAACAAAAGAAGAAAATGTCACTTGTCGCTCTGTGATTATTTTTCTTTTTTCACCCAGTTTCCATGAACAAAACTGCAGTTGATGAATAAATATGATCAGGGCAGAGTGTGTGATCACACAGAGGTGATGACGATGAGTGTGTGTGTGAACACGATCAGGAGATGCTGGAGATCTGGCTCAGCAGGTCCGGGATGAGTGTGTGTGTGTGTGTGTGTGTTCACACAGAGGTGATGACGATCATCAGGTGCGGGGAGATGTTGGAGATCTGGCTCAGCAGGTCCGGGGCCAGGCGGGACAGGTGACTCTCGGAGAACTCGCACGGCGGGAAGATCTGCAGTACATACGCCGGCTGCGCAGGGACAATACAGCGCGTTACAGGGAGAGCGCACACAAACACAACATTTACCCCATGATTTACTCATACAGCTAGGATGACAGTCTACTTGCAGATGAACAGGGGTTATACTAAAAATGGCAGTGAAAGGCTGTTTCTGTTTTAAAGTCTATAAAAGTGCATCTGTCCATCATAAAAGTTCATCTATCATCATAAAAGTGCATCTATCCATCATAAAAGAGCATCTGTCCATCATAAAAGTGCATCTATCCATCATAAAAGTGCATCTATCCATCATAAAAGTGCATCTGTCCATCATAAAAGTGCATCTGTCCATCATAAAAGTGCATCTATCCATCATAAAAGTGCATCTATCCATCATAAAAGTGCATCTGTCCATCATAAAAGTGCATCTGTCCATCATAAAAGTGCATCTGTTCATCATAAAAGTGCATCTGTCATCATAAAAGTGCATCTATTCATCATAAAAGAGCATCTGTCCATCATAAAAGTGCATCTGTCCATCATAAAAGTGCATCTATCCATCATAAAAGAGCATCTGTCCATCATAAAAGTGCATCTGTCCATCATAAAAGTGCATCTATCCATCATAAAAGAGCATCTGTCCATCATAAAAGTGCATCTATCCATCATAAAAGTGCATCTATCCATCATAAAAGTGCATCTGTCCATCATAAAAGTGCATCTGTCCATCATAAAAGTGCATCTGTTCATCATAAAAGTGCATCTGTCATCATAAAAGTGCATCTATTCATCATAAAAGTGCATCTGTCCATCATAAAAGTGCATCTGTCCATCATAAAAGTGCATCTATCATCATAAAAGTGCATCTATTCATCATAAAAGTGCATCTGTCCATCATAAAAGTTCATCTATCCATCATAAAAGTTCATCTATCATCATAAAAGTGCATCTATCATCATAAAAGTGCATCTATCATCATAAAAGAGCATCTGTCCATCATAAAAGTTCATTTATCCATCATAAAAGTGCATCTATCCATCATAAAAGTGCATCTGTCCATCATAAAAGTTCATCTATCCATCATAAAAGTGCATCTGTCCATCATAAAAGTGCATCTGTCCATCATAAAAGTGCATCTATCCATCATAAAAGAGCATCTGTCCATCATAAAACTTCATCTATCATCATAAAAGTGCATCTATCATCATAAAAGTGCATCTGTCCATCATAAAAGTGCATCTCTCCATCATAAAAGTGCATCTGTCCATCATAAAAGTTCATCTATCATCATAAAAGTTCATCTATTCATCATAAAAGTGCATCTGTCCATCATAAAAGTGCATCTATCCATCATAAAAGTGCATCTGTCCATCATAAAAGTGCATCTGTCCATCATAAAACAGCATCTGTCCATCATAAAACAGCATCTGTCCATCATAAAACAGCATCTGTCCATCATAAAGGTGCATCTATCATCATAAAAGTGCATCTATCCATCATAAAAGTGCATCTGTCCATCATAAAAGTTCATCTATCCATCATAAAAGTGCATCTGTCCATCATAAAAGTGCATCTGTCCATCATAAAAGTGCATCTATCCATCATAAAAGAGCATCTGTCCATCATAAAACTTCATCTATCATCATAAAAGTGCATCTATCATCATAAAAGTGCATCTGTCCATCATAAAAGTGCATCTCTCCATCATAAAAGTGCATCTGTCCATCATAAAAGTTCATCTATCATCATAAAAGTTCATCTATTCATCATAAAAGTGCATCTGTCCATCATAAAAGTGCATCTATCCATCATAAAAGTGCATCTGTCCATCATAAAAGTGCATCTGTCCATCATAAAACAGCATCTGTCCATCATAAAACAGCATCTGTCCATCATAAAACAGCATCTGTCCATCATAAAGGTGCATCTATCATCATAAAAGTGCATCTGTCCATCATAAAAGTGCATCTATGGACTTCAAAACAGAAACTGGCCATTCACTGCCATTATAAAGCTTGGAAGAGCCAGGACATGTTTAATATAACCCTGTGTTCGTCTGACAGAAGAGTGTCACACACACCTAGGACGGATTGAGGGAGAGTAAACCATGGGGTAATTTTCATTTTAATGAAGACAAGACCAGGGCCCGTATTCATAAAGAATTTTAAGGCTAAAGGTAGCTCCTAAATGGCGAATTTATGAGCAACTCCTAAAAATAATGGGCATGTCACTCCTAACTTTAGGACTTCTTCACTAAGAGTAATTCACGAAGCATTTTAGCCCTAAGCAGCACGTAAGTCTGGGACAGCTTAAAGCAGTCGAGAGGAGCGTTAGCGTTAGGTTTCTCACGCTTAGTGTTGCTTGATATCCCAGTGCCGAATTAACCTTTTATTATGTTTTTTTTTCAGCAGCAGTAACCGATCCTGCGTCCAGTCGGGCTTTCTTCTCCGTTTTGGAGTTCATAATCCACCGTCATTCAGCTATTACGTGACTTAAAGCAAGGAAATGTTGCTCCTACTGAAGTAGTCTATTTAGGCTAATAGGATGTCAATTAGCCAATCAAGTGTTAATGCAAGTGTCATGTTTCATTATTAGGCAAGTGGCGGTTTAGGCTACCTTAATTTAATTTAACTGAACTTTTCTCTCTCTCTGCCTTTTTAGACTTACACGTCACTAGGGCCTGCACTAACATGTCATTATATTTGCATTTCGATGACATTACTATTATTATTTAGTGCAGGACAGACATATTTAGATGTGGTAATTCCATGATCTGTTGCGTGTGTGTTATGTTCGCATGATGGCCCTGTCATCTAAAACCGATCACCGCGATCTTGCGAGGAAGCTCGTGCGTGAGAACTGACGTCATCCATACCAACGATGACTCACTCTTTGTCATTTTTCCTTTCTAAGAGTAGGTCTGAAAGGCGTTGTGAATAACTTTTAAGAGAAAACTCCTGGCTAAAACATTTCAGTGCGCTTTCGGAGTACGCCTAGTGGTAAGATTTAACTCTTCGTGAACACGGCCCCTGAGCATCAGCTTGGCTGCAGGGAAAGGCACGCACCTGATTGGAGCCGGGGTTGGGCACGTTGATGATCCCAGCCGCTAGTTTGGCCTGCAGGTAATTGATGAAGGCAGATTTGAGCGCCTGCGTCTGGTTCAGCACGTCGTCCTGGTTGACGCCACACGGCATGGCCAACAGCAGGCAGAAATCACTCTCCCCCTGACAACACACAACACACATCCTCTCACAAGAGTTTCTCCGGCTCACACTGGTTCTGCTTCTCTCCATCTGTCTTTAGTGTAATGCTGTAAATGTACTGACGAGATTTTCTTTGGAAACAAACTGTTGCATTCGTTTCCTGTTTTCTCTGTACAGCTGCTTTGTATAAATAAAGCTGGCGTACCGTCATCCTGCGCGCGACGCCCTCGAGCTGCTGCGCCTCCAGCCTCATCCGCTGCACGATACGCAGGATCCCGCCGCTCTCCGGCAGAGGCAGAGACCGCAGGCCCAGAGCCTTGTTCCCACACAGGAAGTGCAGCTGCACCGCGGCGGTGTCGTTCTTCAGCGCCAGCAGGCCTTGCCACACAATGGGGTATTTCTGTACGACAACAGAGTTTATAAAACACACATCTCGAGGGTCTGGTCTACGCTTGCATTCTCACTACACACAGATGGTTGGAAATGAAGAACAAGAATTGAGTCTGTGGTCAGTGGACGATGTTGAAGCGTTAGTGGACGATGTAGCAATTAACTTAGAAATGAATTAGTAATTAGGGGCTGCTAATACGACACCGCTCTAACAGAAGCACCTTCTACAAACCCTGAAATACATGGTTTCAAAACTAATGAAGCATCAGTATGAATGTAGAAAACTACAAACCAGTTTGCATTTAATGATTAACATTGTACAAAATACGAAAACTTCTAAACACAACTAAAAGTAAAACTGATTATTTTGATGGAACTGACCGTCAGAAGTTGCACCATGTTCACAGGCTGATGTCCAACCAACTCCACTTTAGCTTCAGCTTGAGGCTGACTTGACTCTGGCTCCTGAACTCCCTTGGTTAAAAACGAAAAGGACAAATGTAATTTGCACAGCTCTAAAAGCTAGTAAACTTAAAAACTGTTGCATACTCAAACTTACCTGCGATGGTGGGATGCTGTGGGTGGACTGGTTAATCCCCATTGGAGAATTATCAGCAAACTGAGCGTGGGTGGGCCGTAGGTTTGTATACATGTTGGAATATTCAGGAAAGGACGTCCCAGCTCCTGGTGCCATCAGCTGAACTCTTTGAGGAGAAG